AAGACATTGTACGTGACATATAGGATTTTGCATATCAGACAGTATAAAAATGTAGTAAATTTCTAACTACAATCTTTGTAACTAAATTTTTTCTATCAGTCAAAACAGATAATTAAAAGATAATTAATTAAAGTTAAATCTGAAAACTATATATTTTCCATTATTTTCGGTCACGCAATTGCTATGAATACATATATCCACACATTTGGTTCAATTATACTTAATTACTTTAAAAGAGAACAGTCGAGTTATTTATGGAGAGCGGTGATTTAAAGCTTGCGATTCGTGGTAAACTTATACGAATTTAATTGAATTTAATTTGATGCCTCAACAGCAATCAATCGCGCAAGAAGTTAGAATCTATTTTATAACTGCGTTATTAAACATTCGAGTGATTGAATTTTAATCCTCGGAATATTTTTGGATTTTACGATAACGAGAGATGGAGCTGATTTATAAAAGTAGAAAAGGGAAACGCATGCTATCACTGCCGCTATTATATCTGCACGATATCTTTGTCCAATTATATTTCCAATTATTTTGCGAGCACATCCGGCTTACATCATAGTCCGCGCGTAACGTAGGCGCAATTTAATCATATATTTCATTTTCGACCAATTATAAAAACGGAGATGTGCCAGAGAATTCAATTGATTTTACGATCGGTATTTTTTAAAATAGCCCTTTATGTCTGCTATATTTTTATATATATTGCAATGGATTGCTTCCTAAATAATTCGTAAATCTGCATATTTTGTTCCATTCAATACGAGCATTATATCGTGATATATAACGACGATATAGTTTGCTATTAATGAGAATTCAAAGCGAATCGAAATGTTTCGCGATTGTTACGGAAGCAATAACATATATTGGCATAAATACGTACTAATACTTGCAAATCTAGATATTTTGTTAGCTTTTCTCTCTCTTTTATCAAAAATAATTTATTAACAATAATTTATTAACAATAATTCTACCAAAACTATTAAAAATAATGATTTAAAAAAATAAAAATATTCAATATATAATATTCTGGATTATATATATATATATATATATATATATATATATATGTATATATATCGTATATATACATACGTATATACAAATGCCATATTTTCTTTTTTTCCTTTATTTATCTGCTAAAGCTATATTTATATTTTACGTTTGTTGCTATTTCGCATACTTATATTGTAAGAGAATATTACTTTCAATTTTATTCAAATTCAGGTAGGATTAATTTGCCGTAAAACATAGAAGTTGTACTCTAATGAAAATTTCAATAGTTCCTTTAATGAGTTTTGAGCCCTTGATAATTAATTCTGCAAACTTATATTTCTGCAACCGAGTTAATTTCACCGACGCAAATTAGGAATTTAATCAAATCTCGGCAGTCATTTCGGCCGTGGCCACGCACAAAAATGGCAATTAAATCCGACATGCCGTTATTAAGTTCCACAAATCATTTACGCAATCTTACATTTCCCATGAAAAAGAAAAATGATTGAGAATTAATTATAATTTATGAATTTTGACGCTTTATTGCTTATTCCATTGTCCCTGCAGTCAATTATTTGTCAAGGCAATTTTGAAGCTATCAATAATTCCTTATCCCAGAAGCGTGATAAATGCTCCGATAATTATTCTCGCATACACGGTAGCACATGAAATCCATTCGACGTCTTTTCTTTTTTATCGTCAGCGAGGGGATAAGAAAGAATCGCGTTCCACGGATTACGCGGCATGGGTGGCACCATTTCTATTCATCGTGGAAAATAAAGCCGGTCTCGATCGCCGAGTTCCGATAACCATGAATATTTTATCTGCATAATATTTCTAACACACACGTTCAACCGCGCGTTTCATCACACTCGTGCACATATGTCGATTCTATCTCTTTCTCTCTCTCTCTTTCTTCCCATCTCATGTCTTGTTAGACATTACATATCCAGAGACGATAGCTATAACGTACGTCGCACTGCAGACTCGTATCGTATTCACGGCGGCGCCGATGTGTCGATGTAAACGTGTGTCCAGTGTGAATCGCAAATCTCACACTCACATCCGCGATTTTCGCACGAGCTGAAATGGGGCAGTATGCGATTTCGCGCGTGCTCAGGGGATACGGACATCGCGGATCGGACGCGAATCGCGATGATAACAAGCTTCATGGACCGCCGCGAAATGGGCCGAATGTAAAGTCAGGACGTCGTTATGATGCGTGTGATGGGTAATGTTGCGTGCCGAAAGTAATGTTGTTTGCCATGAAACGTTGTTAATAGACGCCTCGCGTTTCGCTGTCGTATGTCGCGCTACGATTTTATACGCGAATTTAATGTCATATCGTATACGTTGCGTGATGGTCGGTGTGTCGGGATATTAATGGCGAGACTCTACGTGGCGATATTTCCTGTCTGTTAAATGTTGCAATTATCAGCACAGAGAGCGTTAATCATTAGAATAGAAAGACAGAAAGATTTTTTTCGTTTCGCTGCAACAAAATACATAAGCAATGTAACGTGAATAACATTGCACAAAGCAAATGCCGACGATAGAAATTTAATTAATTAATTTGCCTGCCACGACGTGCTATTAAAAAATGCACTTAGCAAGTTGGTATACAAAATGTCGAGATGCAGAATGAAGACTAAAACCTCCTTTTCTGCGGTCAGAGAGGACTGTGGCGGAAATTTAAATTTACCCACGTACGGAAAACTTCACAAAGCTCAGTGGGCCGCTTAATAAAATTTTCCTACATACAAAAATTCCACGCGCGCCTCCTCTCGTGTTCACGTACAGGTACAGCTCTCAAGAGCGCCGAGAGCCGAGAGACGTAAAATCTCTGTCCCGTTCGCCGCGAGCGGGACACGAGCGCGTTGCTATGATTGCCCGTATTAGAAGGGGAGCACACGTTCGACGCAATGGCTCGCAAATTCTGTATGCATTCGTGGTTAGCGGCGTGCAACGCCGGAACGATCGATCGCGCGAGATATGCACGCTTGGATGCTGCGCTTTTGCACGCGGATCGAGTCGATGAACAGGCCGCGAATCCCCCGCGCGCGCTTGATACGTTACTACGTGTTGCCCGATAAGCAGAGTTCGCTGTGTGCAGATTTCAGCCCTTAACCCTTTAACGCTGCTTGCCTCGAATTGACGAGCCATCCGTTACGAGTGATTTATATGATTAAGCGGGGCGCAACGCCAGATTCATCATTGTGTGATTGCCGCATATTCATTGTAGCCAACAAAATATTTTTGCCTTTCTGTCGAATTTCGATCATTCTCGTTATCGTTGCATTGTATTATTGTCGTAACAAGGTGGTCAAATTATTTGTATGTCTATAACAATGCGCTACTTGGTAACTTGAATTAATAATAACGATGAAATTATATTAATAATTTTATTTCGGCAATTTATTTTAGTAATTTTATGTATAGTTCTAGAGAATATTTTGGAGGGAATATAGAATTTTTGTACAAACACATATTTTTGGGATGGTGAAATTATATTTATTACATTAATAATGTCAAATATGTAACTGATTAATATACTGACTGCATTAGCGTTTTTGGAATCCAACTGTAAAATGTATAACATTTATACGCTTCAAGTGGACACAGATTTAATTTGATTTCTCTTCTCTAAATTGGGCCACGCAAAATTCTTTTCTTCAAACGCTGCAATAACATAAAAAAAGGAATTTTATTTTTGAACGCAAATAAATTGCATCAAAAACTATTTCAATATTTTTCCTGTTAGTATTCTTATTTTTCTAAAATTTTGCTATTTTAATTCTTTGTTTTATCTTTTTGATTTTTTATTCAATTTCACCTAAACATTTCTAAGGGAAAGTCGTTTCGGAAATACAGAATATAATATGTACATAATAATCGTGTTAACGTATCGCATCTATAACTTGACCCTTTACTTCCCGTCTACCCTTTACAATATTAACATGATTCGCTGTATCACATTTCGGCGCCACGGTGCCTACAAAATGCGGGCTTCTCACACACACACAGATTATCGAGTTCTGTGTACACTTAACGTATCTTCGAGCTCCAAATTCATGAGAGACACCACTACAATATCGTGCGCTTCAACGAGGAAGGCAATTGGCCTTCCACCCGCACTGATTTCACTCACCCACACATGTTACACGCGTTCTCCTCCACGAGACGACAATTCACACCGGTCATCATTGTGGGCTACGCACACCAGTATCGCGTCTCGAGTGGATCGTCTCTAGTACTCGGTGCGAGGCACCACGCGGGGCTAGTTTGCCTCATGCACCCACAGTGCGTACGGCTGTTTTGTCACGCGTGCGGTCGACACGCGTGTGTGCACGTTATACGTCGTCGTCGTATTCGTCGGCTTACCTAAGTTTATTGTTAGAGGGACCGCGTACCGCACTGTAGACGGAGCTTGAGGAGATTTAGTGCGTCTCGCATGCTGCTCCGGGTATCACATGTGCCGGCTCTGATCTATCTCGATCGTTCTTCGGTGTTATATGGATATGAAAGACGTCTCAGTGATAATTCGTGGAAATATGTGTTAATTTAGATAGACTAGAAAGTATTTTACGAATTCATGAATGGAAATTAATTTATTTTTTATCATTATACATTGCATTGTTGTAATCTCTGATGGAATTATGAATAAGTGGAAATGGAACTATTATAATTCGTTTGACAATATAATTAATTTCAAACTAATGTTATAAAAATATAACGATGAAATGTTAAAAGATATTCATGATTAATAATTTAATTAAGTAATTTAATAGATAAAAAAAGGAGCAATCGACATTTTATTTTTATAAATTACTTTCGAATCATAAATATCCATTATAATCTTTTTCTATAAATATTTTTAAAAAATTTCATGCATATATATGTAACGAACTCGATATATTATTAATATGAGAATTTAAATTACTAATGAAATTGAAATAATTTAAGTTAATAATGATAAAGATAACGATGAATACGATAAAAAATGAAAAGGAAAAATAGATAAAAATACAGAGAAGGATATTTCCATGACGGTAATTAAAACCAAAATAACAGAATGACAAACGACTAATTTTAAATACACAGAGAAGGAGATGGAGCCGGACCAGAATACCAAAAGCAAATAAAAGTTGTCACAGTACGCACAGCTCCGACCTGTTTACACAGATTCCACAATTCTCTACCATTTTCCGTACTTTTCGTCACAAACCTGGAAATCAAGCGGAACGCAATAGCGAGATTCCGTGGGCATCGCACTATTGGAGAAACGCTCACTCGCTCCGGGTAGCGGTGGTGAGGGAGTGAAAAACGAGAAATTAGGATTTCGAGGACAGCAAAGTGCTTGGAACACGAAAAACCAATTGCACGAGAGCTCGAAGGGTTGGTGGAAAATGCGATAGCTTGATGAGGGTCCGAGAGTGGTGACGAAAGACATTGTTTACTTTAGAAATAGTGTTATTATAAATTTGTTTCACAAATATTGTTAAATATGAGTTTAAAATATTGCTAAACAATACTTGATAAATATCTCAATCTAAAAGATAATTGCAAATAATTTTGTTTAATTTTATTATAAAGTTAAATAATTAGTATAAAATAAATTTAATATAAATTATATTACAGAAAAAAATAAAATATATTGGAGTTAACTAAAGACAGTAATAGCTCAAATACATATAAAATTGATATGTATATTGATAGTTAATAGTTAATAGTTAATAGTTTTTTCAAACTATTAGATATTTCTGTTTCCTATCTCAAATTTTTCGTTCTGTAAACGATGCATTGATTTTCCTTTTGTTAAATGCAGTGTCAAAATATTGGAGAAAAGTGAATAGTCTCTTTTATTTTATTTCATATATCATTTTATTTTACACGCGAGCAAGAATGTCAATGCTTTTGAATAGAAGTATTAAATTTGCAAGACCATGCCATATAGTTGATTTAAGCAAAAACTCAAAACGTCCAAAAGAGGAAGTGTGCAAACATAAAGCTTGACATTCGGCGGAAATTTCGATACTGCAAAGTGAAATAGGCAAACCAATACTGTCGACAACATCGACCCTTCGAACCACAAAGCCGCGTCCTATACCGCCGCCCTGCCATCAAGAAGAATAAAAAGGCAAGCGGATGTCGAAAAAGTTTCGTCCTTTCGTGGAGAAGTCACCTGAACTGCCGTTGCTAAAATTACTCCACTAGAACCGCCCGCAAATCTCCGAGTCCTTTTTCGTCATCACGGGCGACCCGCCACGCGTTTTAACGTGCGTCGTTTCAAGCTTCATTCTCCTGGAACTAATACATGTTCAAATGTGTCGACAGTCCCATCTCCCTCAGCCACGATTTTGACATCATTACCTCTTTCGTTTTCTCTCTCTCATCTTTAAAATTTTAATTAAGTCCGGTAATTATGTAGGACGACGACAGAAAAGAGAAAGGAGAAGAACGCCGTTGTCGGCGTCCTGTATACGCGTGTTCTTGGGAATGTATTCGATATAAATAACATGTGGATGTAAAGGTCGCAAGATCTCGCGGTTTCCATCTGCTTTTAAATAGTCTTGTGAAACTTAGAAGATCGAAGAAAGATTTACTTGTTTCTAAGATAAGATTAAATGAATTGTTGGATATAAATAATATTTTTTTTATTTTGAGAAAAAAGATGATAAGATATTTAATTTAATCCAAGAGAGTCTATGAGAGAGAGAAAGAGAGAGAGAGAGAAAAAGCAAGCAAGATATTATCAATTTTTCAATCTTTATAATTATATCTTTCTTCGGATCAAGAACCAAATCTTGCATGAGAGGAATTTCGATTTATTTAAACACAATATATCGTTCCATTTTTACTACGACGTATGCTTCACATTCTGTACATATATTTTTATTTTTTTCTGACTCAAAATTTATTCCTTGAGAAAATTCATTTTTATATATTCGCGTCGTTTTTTCGCAAAAATTACTCAATGTTATTTTTTGCTCTCGTTTTATTTACGTGAGCCTTCTCTCGCTTGATGATGTCATATAAGTATTTGAATTTTAATTTGTCTCGTCCTGAAAATTTCGTTATTCCCAGCGTGCTTGTACGCTGCATGTCGTACATTCACGCCATGTTATCGTGTGCGCACACGTAGGTGCATACACTACACACAGACATTTTATGCGCCCTCAGTTTTATGTCCCACACTCTACACCTGTGCAACACACTCGCTCACTATCTCCAACCCGCATCTCGCTCCTTCGCTCATTCCCCATCAAGCTCCGTAGCTTAACAAGGGCATTAATTAATAATACCTCCCAGGGATAATTTGCGCCTGCTGTCTTGCATCAGCATTGCTATTGTCCACGAGGTCGGCGTCTACCCTTTGTGTCTGCATCGCGGTGCATCTTAAAATTGACCCGGCGCCATCTCCATGCTCAACAGACACACACACATACATACCCTGAGGACAAATGATGGTTTTCCAGACGCGGTCTTAGAAGTTTATGAAAAATATTGAAGATAGGATAACAGTACAATCTGAAAAAAATTATTTTCTTCAAGTTGATACACTTTTGTGAGAAATATATCTGATTTTGAAAAACATTTCGATTTTATAAAACTGTAAATTCTTGATAAATATATGAAATTTTTTATTACAGATTTTATTGCAGTGCTAGATACTAGAACAAGATTAGCTGCAATTATGCATACTTGCAACGAAAAATATTATGAATAGCTCGGTGTTGTAGTCGTTTCACTAATTTGCAACGTAAACTTCCAAGTTATATGAGTATGTAAAATACGCAGTGGTTTATGAATTCTATTTTTAGTATGCTATTTTTTGAAAGCACAATTCCACTATGAGTACAAATACATTATTTACAATAATATTTCTAGATAAAGATAGGATATGTAGTACATAGAATATAAAAAAAAATAGAATTTTATATAAAATACAAATTTTTCTTCCATAGGAAAAAAAGAATTTTCTTTTATATATGACTTTTTTCAAATGTATTTATATGTTTGCTCCAATTTAGTTTCATTAATTTTTATTAATATTATTATTGTTTTATTCTTTCGGTAGAGAGAAATTTTTATAAGATATTTGCATTATCGAGAGATTTTTAATTTATACTTGTAATTATTAAATAAACGTTTATGATTTTAATAGTTAATATATAATAACATTATAGATGAAACTTTATTAAACAATTCAAGACTAGTAAAATCAATAAAAAAATAATGGATTGTGAATAAGAAAATTTGATTTGATGAAACATTTCATAATTTTAATACTAATATTTTAAAGATTGACATTGCTCAAGTCATATATTATTATTTTCCCTTACTTAAATTTTTAGTAGAATGGTTTGGTTAAAAAACCTTCCGACATTAGGTCACATGAGTACTTCAGGTTTACTAAACGCGTACTACTGTAAGCTCTGGAGGAGTTATGCATTTGTCACAACTGCTTATATATATATATATAATATGCGCATTTTATTTATTGAAATTTATCTGTATGATTTTCATTATTGTATAAATTAACCGATATTAAAAACAAAATTTATTTTATTTTTGATGTAGATTTCGCTATATTTTGAGTTTACCGTTTTATTTTATCTAGTTTAACACATTTTTCCTTAAATTACATCATAATATTTTCAAGTCGGTATACTTTTTGTGACCGCGTGTTTCCGAGTTTTCGATTGAAACAGTAAAATTAAACATTTTAGATATTGCAACTCACATTCGCAGAATAACGTTTTTATTGATCACATTTTTATTGATAAAAAAAAAATTGTTATTCTATCGAGCCAAAAATCAATACTAAAATTTAGATTTTTGGCGAAACTGACACTATTTTCAATTAAAAGTGATGTTATTTTATCTCTAAATTTCTCGTTATCATTTATTGAATATTTTACTGATGAATAATTTTGAAAGAATAATTTCTTTTTCTTTTGTAATAATGATTTTGTAAAATGAAAATTTTGTTTGGAGAAATTTAAATACGTTTGAATCGCAAATGAGAATGGTCATATTTTATATTAAAAAATAAATTCTATCGTAATATATTTTTTCATTGAGCTGTTCCATACATTTATTTTAACTTGGGTTATAAAGAAAGTATTTCTTTTCATGTCGTGGCAAGTAATTTCCTAAATTTTCTGACATATAAAGATCTCGAAAACAATGATAATGACGACGATGTACTGTTATAAAGCCATCTGACGAATTAATTAATGGAGAACTGTCATTATATCTAACTGCGGTTTAATTTGAACAGGATCAATTTACTCTCATATAGCGCAACTGTGTTGCTTTTTGTATGCCAGGGATCAATAAGTCTTTGACCAGAAATGTGTTCATTAGCGGAAAATCGAGACTTTTAGATGGAAATTAACGAGGTTGTTTTGAAGCATAGTTAGAGGTGAAACGCGCTGCTTCCACGATCCATCCGCCCCCAATTAACCTACATGCGGATAAAATTCAGTAACGTTGTTACTGAATACAGAAATAGCTACACATTTTAATTAAAATCGAACAAAATTTAATATATAGCAATTTATTATTACGTTAGGATTACAGTGATTGACAATTGATCTTGTTTTAAGCTCGACATTATTAATTACGGAAAGATTACATATGTCGCAAAGTTATAATTATTGTATAAAAAATATCTAAACATCTTTTGCAATACGTTTGTCTGTTTCGTTATGCGACCACTAACAATTTATCTTTGAAATATAATATATAAAAAAATATAATATATCTTTGAAATATAATATATCAAATATATGTTATTGTATAATTAATTATTTCTGAGGAATCGTCGTGGAATTAAAAGTTTCTTATTAAACAAGTAATATCATTTTAGCAAGTATATGAAAAAGTCGCGTTATGAATATTATATAGTAAAAATAAATATACGATATTTACTGGAAACAGCCAGAATTAAGTTAATAATAGTTCATTGATTTAATCTAACTTAAATTTACAATAGCTAATTTCCCTCACAAATTAAAACATGTCTTTGTTCTAAATAAAGAATGTAAATCGCGTAAGAATTATTAACAAAACAGAGAGCGCTCTCTTCTCTTCAACCAATTTTTAGTCATATAAATTAAAGTAATAATTTAGTCGTCATAAATTAATTTAACCATTTAAAATGGTAGATTTTATCGTGGTAAATGGAATTCTGTCTTAAATATTCATAATGAGTTCAGTTTCTTTAGGAATTACATAGCTAATATGCGGTCTTTATTATCTACATAATCATATAAACGGAATAATTAGAAAATTACTTTGGCAAACACTGTGTAAATTACTGTTATCCATTCGTAATGATAGTATGATGTAGAAATTTAGGTGGCCGCCATTTAACTCCGTGCTGATCCATTTTATTGTGAGCAACGTGAATAATCGCGAAAATTAACTGCCAAAATTTATGACAAACGTAATGCATTCATATGAGCGAACAGGTATAATACATCGCATATCCGAATCTTATTGTTGGTATCGCATGCCAGAGACATGCTGAAATCGCATAAACGGATGCCATTTATCATGCTGCCAGATCTTACTATGTTGGATGAGTGACAGCGCGTTAAATTTAGCATTAATGATGCGGTTCGAGGTATCGCTATCGTGAAACGGAAGTTCGTTAATTAGTTATCGTGGCGAAAAGTGTACAACAACTTATACCACGTTCCACGCATCACGTTGTCTTCATCGCGATGAATTTCAATTCTCTGTTATGATAAAAGATGCAATTAGAATTCAATCTCGATTCACATTTATATGTCTTAAATGCGCCGCATACTTTTCTGATCGATTATTAATTTCTACGATTCTAAGTTTGTCATAGTTAAATCAATGTGAAAAATGTATATTTTAATATATATTTTTTATAATATAGATGAAAATAATAATATTTTAATTAAAAGTTTTTTTTAGGTTTTTTGATGTTTATTTGATGTTTATTTCTAAGTTAATTGAAAGAAAATATAAATAACTTGAAATATGTGTGTAATTAAGTTATATTACTCTTATTTTGGCTTACTGTTGTTTTATATATACGTAGATATCTTTATTTTATATTATCTATATTATAAAAATTTGACAGATAATTGCAAATATAAAATTGTGTGGGGATAAATATCTAATTCGAAATTATTATCCTCGAAAAAGTTATATATCTATACATCATAAATATTATCAAAAGAAAATATAGAATTTTGCTGGCAATGTTCCAAAGTACGTAGCTTAAAGTGCACCCTTAGATAAATAAGATACTCTGCAACGTAATAGAAAAATAAGAGAATTTAAAATTGCTTGTTTCCATATCTCTAAAAATAATTATATATACATATATATTGAACAAATTATATATACATATATATTGAACAAAGTAAAATAATTATATATACATATATATTGAACATCCTATGCATCCTTCATCGTTGAGAGAAATTTGACTAATACATAAATATTGTTTCTACAATTATTTCTAATTATTATACATCTCATGCTAACATACAAAATACTATTGTAGAGAAATCACAAAACAGAAATTAAACGCTTTTTATGCGCAAAGTGGGGGAATTAGTTTCAGTGAATTTGGATTGTGCCAAAAGTTCAGTGGATTCATTTACGAGTGTAATTTCTCCGTGCAACACGAGATAAAAGTGCTACAATAACAAACCGTATTGTGAGAAAGAAAGATCGCTTCGTGTGTAACGTTCGTAAGCTGACTGTGTGCGCAATGTAACTATTCGCCATGCCCGATGCAATCGCGTCCTATTAATGAATGCAGCTCGCATCTGCGGCACGCGCGTTAAGATCGTTACGAAATCTTGCGTCACGTGTGCGAGAATCGAAAGCCAGGCGGAAGGAAGGAAGGAAGGAAGGAAGGAAGGAAGGAAGGAAGTAAGTAAGAAAGGAAGGAAGAGAGAAAGCACGCGCGTTAAGCATTATTAAACTTCTCGCGCTCTAATCCGGGTGTAACGCGCGCAGTTTACGTGGTTGGAACGAAAACTATGCGGCACGATGAAGGGGCTAAGGAGAATCGGTGGTGGCCTACCGAGCGGGAAAAAGTTGGATTACTGCCAGAAGATGTGTCAAGCTCGAGGAATATTGCTGGTGTACTTGACTATCTGCGCTTCGCTGCCGGATGCTATTTTCACCGGTTAGTATCGATGATTCTTTTTACGACCGCGCGATATTTCGTCGTCTTCCAATTTCTATATTTCAGCGACACGAGCTTTCCTTGTTGGAGCAATTGCATAATTCATGCAGTTATCGGTCATTTGTAAAATTATAGTTTTCCGAATCTTACATGCGTGAATATAACATTAATTTTTTAACGCATAATAACATGTGCTAATTTTTCTATCGAACGTCTTTGATTCTATTCGGTAGTGTATTTCTAATATTATTTCTTTATGGATAACAAATTTTAATTTATTTCTCATTTATTTAATTATAAATTTATTTAATAACAAATATAATTATAAATTGATTTAATTATAAATAAAAATAAAATTAAATAAAACTTATTAATAAGTATAAGCTTTTTTATTGGCTTTAAAATGCATGCTACGATAGAATTTTTGACTTTTAGCAAATGTTATGCAAATACTTTATTTTTATTAATCTTAGTATAGTACAGTTTCATCATAAAAATCTGTTGTTGTTCGCTAGAAAATAACTCACAAATGACACTACCACCGTCAGTAATGCCGAGCATAATGACGATATGATTTCTACGTCGCTGATGCAGAATGCGGAAGTGGAACTTTTCTGCAGTCGTTCTTTAATATAAGGTCTCGCGGTCTCACCTGAGAAATGAAGAGCATAAATCATGGTGCTCATCAAGCCTCGCGTGGTCTCAATTTTGCAAAACTTTTCCCACAAATCTTTGCCGCCCGCCTTGGGCGCTGTCATCTCCATCTTTTAAAGATTAGTTTAATGTCGTTCGTGATGCTTGCCGTACTTCAACTTTATAATGAGAAAGTCACTAAGATGGGATGAAATAAGCAATAACACTTGGTATACATAATGAAAATACAGAGCATCACATTGAATTTATTTTTCAAAGTTCATACATATTATTTTGTCTAATAATAATTTAAAGTTATTTGATAATGATGTGTGACGTAGTAATAATAATATTTTATTTAAAGAGCAAATTTTACTAAATTAAACATATATAAAAAAGAGGTGTAAATATTATTGACTCACTTTAATTTAATTTGTAATTAATGTGTAATAAATTAATAATTGCAATGTTTAAAACTTATAGCTTTTTCACATAAATTCTTGATGTAATTAAATTTATGATTTTATATATGATTTTATTTAAGTCATTTAACAAGAGATTCGCGTAATAATATATTACAAACAATTTGATGATAAAATTTGCAACATGTATATTTGTCAGAGGCTAACTAAAATACATTTAGACTTCTGAGACAATTCGAGCACTGGTCCCATTAAAAATAGACTTACCAGATCCGACAGAGCTATAATAGAAATACATCGCTAATTCGGTCACTATAATATCATAATAAAACCAATATATCGTGACTGATAATTATAACTTTTTTCGCTAAATTATTTCCATTCTTAGATATGTAAAATTATGTCAATACTGCATGACTTTTAGGCCGATCTTGTAATCTCTTTTTCAATTATATAATATTTTATGATTTTTAAATTAAAATGTCTTATAATTTTATTACATACAATTATATTCTTACATTTTTTTTTATATATGTGATAGTAAATTTGAGTATATTTAATTTTTGTACCTAAAACTTTTCCCTTAATCTCGTTTCAGATTTACTATGAATTAAAAAAAAATATATAAGGTTATGCATTCTTTCATTTTAACGTCGGAAGTGCGTGACTAGAAATGTAAATTAAGAGAAACGACTCTTGTAAAACGCGAGGGTAGTATTAGAGGATGTCCTCAGACGCACTCGAACGCGAACACGACTCTATGTGTCGAGATATGCAACCCGTAACGCTTCACAGGCAAAATAGGAACTAATTAAGCACACGAGAGTTTAAACGAGGCGCGGCACCAGCCGTAGTGCAAATTGCAAGTCGTATTAACAATTATCTCGTAATTGTCTACAGTACGCTCAGGATTTGTAAAGCTAGAATTAAATTCGCAAGTAACGCTGGCTGGCATTTCGTGTCTCGGTTCCGCGTGTTTCTTTCTGAGTGCATATTTCTCAGTCTATTTTTACTCAAATCTTTACTATTATATTTCTCCCTTTGACATTTCACTCAAAGGTAAGGAGAAAAGTGAATTCCGCAATTCTCTTTTCAGAAATAAAATATAGCAATTTTACACACGTGTGAAAATCATGCAAATATTTTTTTTATTACACAATAATAGAATATTATTTATTGTACACCTTCAAAAACATATTATGTTCACGTGTAAATAAACACGCGTACGTGTATGAAATATTAAATTATTTTTCGCGTTCTTGAATATAAATAAATATATATGTTATAATATAATATAACAGTAGCTATTATATGTATTATAGCTATATTATAATAATAGCTATTACATTATAATTATTATATAATAATTTAGAATAATAATAGTTATTATATAATAATTTTATATGCAAAAGGATATGTTAAAATATTATGTTATATATAATTAAATTAAAATTTTATAAATAAGAAAAAGCATTGACGTCGCAAATCTCAATATCTTACTTTCTTGTGCATCATTATTTTGGCTGCAAAAATGGCATCATTTGAAAAATATTTTTCGCAAAGTATTAAAATTTCTATCACATCATTATAATTATAAAAGAAAACTTTTTATTGTAAAAAGCTTTCTTATTAATTATAATGATATATGATAGAAATTTTAACGTTTTGCGAAAAATATTTTTCAAATGATGCCATGTTATTTTTGCAGCCAAAATAACGATGCGCAAGAAAGTAAGATATTGAGATTTGCGACGCCAACGCCTTTTTTCTGTAACGTATGTTTTTATGGAGCATTGGCTTTATGACGACCATATGCTACTATAAAAGCACACGTACACATGTGTTCGTGCATTCGTGAAATTCCAACGTTTCTAAATGCACGCGACTGTGTAAAATTGTGTCAAAGGAAACACGGGTGATAGCTTACGCTTTTATATGCTGCGCTCAGCTTGATCCTCTTCAATATCAAATATTGTTCGTACATTTGTACATTAAAGCTTAAATAAATTAGTTTTCAGATAATATAACATGTTATAAATTAAATTCTTTAGTATTATAAATGGAATGTTATATATTATAAATGAAATTCTGCGAATTAATGCGTATTGTTTATAACAATTTCACGCGTGTCAAAATAGAAATTTAATTTTACTCTTGAGAAATTACCAGTGTTTTTCTTTTCCACTACATTATAACTTTTTCAATCTTATGTATTATAAATCTTATTTAAAATATATTAAACAAGTTTTTCAAAGTTTAAATACTTGAATTCTCAGATGAGGTATTGCGCTGAGAAACATAGTAGTCTTATTGTTAGTCTTGGTCAAGTGCTTGTGCGAAGTTTACTTACCTCTGAAGGAACAAGAGAGATGCATTAATTGGTTTCTTGAACCGAGCGTCACATTTGAAGTTCCCTGCAAACTAAACATCTGGTTTTAGCGGTCTAAACATTCGGATCCCATGTTGATTTCCACACGTGGGGAGAACATCCAAACCGGGATAATATTTAACTGATATTTGAATCTGATGCCCCCTAAGCTCGAAGTGAATTTATTCGCTTTATGAAAAATATAATTTTTATCTTTTAGATAAAATACAATTTACTTGTATTTTCATTTAACATATTTTAATTCGACGAAAACAATTTTTATGCAAAATTCAAATATATAAATTTGTCTCTCTTTTTAGAGAATAATATATTATAAATATCTCTTTTTATACATATACACATGTATATAATTCTGATCATTTACCAATCCGGTTTTCTATGAAACTGAAAGCACAAAGCAATTTCTGAGCGATACAGTCTATTAGATAATCGCATGAATATAAAGCTATCAGAAATAGCAGGATAGCAACCTCTTCAAAGAGGAGAAGCTGTTTTACATTTACCGTAATGGTGGGGCAGAAAATTCGATTCACTTCTACTCGATTTTCCCCGAGACAATGCTAGCAACGTATCGCCGAAAGGGAGAACCAAAAACAAACTATCCTCTACTGTATTCGTCTGGCGGAAACGAACCGCGTGTCTATCAATAGAACGAGCTGCAACTCGATTTGTCTTGCTCGCAGTGAGAGCAAATACACAAACAGTTGAAATGCAACATTAATTCGAAATAAAAGTATTGCTTTTTCTCATTTCTTGTGTTATGCTCTCTAGCTCGCTCTGAAAAAAATACACTGACAGTAATAAACAAGATTAATCAATGAATTATCGCGAAATAATGTTTGGGGTGTACACAAAAATTAAAATTTTATTGCAAAATGGAGAAAGAACACGACTCTGTATTTTGCTCGAAAATTTGCGGTTTCGCGAGACACATGATCTCAAAAAGGACAGATGACTTGCAAAAGTTTGGTAACTGTTGTTCCCGGCAGGGACTATCGAGTTTGGTTGCAAAGCGTCGCGAAACGCAGTTACTCGACATCGAGACAACCGAAAACAAAACTCGCAGCGTTCTCGGTTCCTGTGTCGGAAACGCATCGCGCGGTTAGCCATAAAGAGGATCGCGGTGGAAGCGAGCGAGGAGTAGCCCGGGCGCCGGCAGTTACTTACGCTTAGGACGATTTACCTTAATTAATTAACCGGCGTTGTGACGGGGCGCTAATTTATGCTCATAGAATGATTCACCGCCACTTCTGGGCGGATTGTGGTTTAACCTCCTTCTTACTCGGGCTCGACCGTCGACAGCAACCCCGGCAAAATTCAACCCCGTCGCGCTTCGTCTGACGGATGAGCCGCGCTAATTAGAAGTCAGATCGTTTCGAATCGCGGTCAAAAATTCGCGCGGACATGTCCAGCCCCAGGGAACGATGTTACGACGCGACACGTGTCTCGCGAAAGCGCCTCGTTGACATCTCTCGCCTTTTTTTTCTCCTGAAACCGCTCTCGAAATATCGCAATATTTTATTCAAATTAATATATTTGATCCGTTAGATATAATT